TTCCAACAGTCCTTTCTAACTCTAAATCATTGATTCTATAGCATACTGCCCCCAAAGTCATATGCATGGAGACAGGAAAGGTGGCATATTTTGTACTTTTTTGTTGTTTTTCATGGGGTTATTTGACATGACAGAGTGAGAATTAAAATCTAGGCCCTAAAAGCCCCAATCCATTGGGGTTTCCTCTGTTTATGATTTTCCAGTGATTGTTCAGTTAGACACAGACTTTCGTGAAAATGAACTTTCAGTTTCCTTTCCTCTAAGACGTATACACGTGTACCCTAAAGCTGCTTGGTCTCTTATCATCATAAACTACTTGAGTATAAGAAGGTTAAAAAAAAATCTATGGTGTTTTTTAGATAAATTAAGCCTTCTTTGTCAGCATTTTGGTACAAAACTACCTTTCCTTCAAGAAGCTTAGACTGAAGGACACAGACAACATAATGATTCTTCTGAACTTGATTTTCCCCAGCACATTTCCCCAACCTGTGGGTCAACCTTACCCAGTGTGGAAGAAGCCACTCTGTGATGCTTACCCCTTCTTTTCCAGGCTGCAGCTGTTTCAACTGGTGATCCTCTAGCCCATGGAGGCTGCTATACAACACAGATCTGTGCATTAGGGGCATCACAGTACGCAATGATTCACAAGGGAAGCAGGTCCTGTCTGCCAGCACACTGGATCACTCACTCACCACACAAGGCCTCCTAGCCACAGACCTGCTGGCTCTGAGTGGTGGGTGGCTCACGCCACTGACTGCCTGTCATTCTAGGAAGAGTGTGCCCTGACCCTTTGACCAGAATGATTAGTGAATGCACAGTGATTATAAAAAGGGTGAGTGAATGCCTGCAATGGAGGGCAGTGGGTAATGACTAAAACTTTCTTTTGTTTCTCTTTCTGTTCTGAAGAATAGTGAACAGTGAGAAACAAAAAGGCTTGCAAAGGCAGAAGGAATTGTGTGTATAGAGGAACACTGTACTGGGAATGGTGAAACCTCAGAGACTGTGGTGAATGTGTGAAGGTTTTTTTTTTCTTCATTCGATTTGGGTTTTTTGTATTTTTGCTATACTGCAGTGTCTGGATCTTTAGCTAGAAACAACATTTTATAGCATCTCTCCACAGCAATAATTAAAACCTTGACTCCTTAAAAATAAAACAAGCCCACATTTCTATACAGGATGGGTTTGGTTTCCCCTGCACAGGCTAATCTAACATGTTGTTATTCAGTCATTTCAGTCTTGCCTGACCCCATTTGGAGTTTTCTTGGCAAAGATACTGGAATGGTTTGCCATTTCCTTCTCTAGGTCATTTTATAGATGAGGAAACTGAGGCCAACAGGATGAAGGGACTTACCCAGGGTCACTCGGATAGTTAAGTGCCTGAACTCAGGAAGATGAGCATTCCTAACTCTAGGCTGACTCTATCCACTGTACCACCTTACTACCCTAATCTAACATGAAGGCAAGACAATAGTAGTTGTCTATTTTTCCCTCTAAGGGTTACTTGTGGTGATGGTCAATGTTGATAAAAACTACAAAGGGTTTTTTTAAGAGAGGAAGAGAAGCACAGAAAGCTAGAGCTTGAAGGGACTGGATCTACCCCTTCTGCTAAGGATTCGAACCTGGGGTACCTGATCAACCATCTCAGCAATGCTTCAGACCTACTCGGATGTCACATGTTAGTAATGACCTCTTCCCCCTGGGCTCTCGATTGCTTCTATACTTCTCTTATTTATGTACTTATATGATATCATTTTATGTTAAAATTATTTCTGTGTGTGTCATATCCCCCTATGAGGTTCTAAGTCCCACAGGGATAAAACCTCTTATTCAAATTGCCTATCTCCCAGTGCAGAGATTGCAACAGATCAATCCATCTGTTGGACTGAAATGAAAATATAAAATAAGGAAGGATAAGGCTCAGAGAAATGTATTGACTTGTCCAATGTCACAATGCTAATAAGTTGCAGAGCTGAGACTAGAGCCCACATCTGTCAACTTATAGGTCAGTGCCAAACCCTGCTTTTGTAATCAATGAGCTAGAGAACATGGGAAAGATGTATTGGACAGCAGCCCAACAATCATTCTGTACCTAAGAATGAAAAATAAAGATACATAGAATAATAACGGTAGGAATTGTGAAGACAAATATTTTGGAACTTTTTATTTGAGGATTTAGGCATAAGATCATAATTCTATTCATCTCTGACCACTCCTTCCCTATTCCCACAAAAAGCAAAACACAACAAAATATTGTAATTCTGATAGTTAACCTAAATAATGTCCTGTGGTTGGAAGTACTGTCAATTCTTTACCCACTGAGATGAAATGGATTCTCTAGGCATGGGGAAGAAAATCCACACTGAGGGACACCACAGAGCTGGACAGGGACTCCCACAGCATAAAAGCTAAATTAAGCCCAGAGATTAGTCATACTTCTATATGACTTTCTCTGCGGACTTTGGAGCCATCCCTTGTGAGAAATACAGCTGGTGAAGTATTTTAGCTGTGATGATGTAAGCCTGATTCTGATATGGCTCTCAGGAAGGTGACAAATCATTTGTGGAGCCGGTGCCTTGCAATTCTGTTCTTACTGCATGAAATCCAAGATACCCCTTTTAGCAGTGCACATCATGTTCTTCCCTTCTATGTAGAAGATTTTCCCAGCATGCACTGAGACAACACAGGGGGCTGTGCTGACAGATCTGTGAACAAGATTCCACACAAAGTCTACCTACTAATTTGCACCTCTGCATAGTGACTAATGGTCTGGCTGCAAGGACAGAAATGAGAGCAAGGATATGACTACACATGGAAGCTGATTTCTCTATGTCTTACATTCTGATTTTGAAGAGTACTGAATAGTGAAAAATACAAATAGACATTTCCTCACTAAGAACCGCCTAGTGGATAACGAAGCCTGAAAAGGAATGTGAAGGTTACATAGTTTACATGTTACTGATGCTTTGGGGGATTTAGAGCGTAAACACCAAGTAACTAATACTGCTTCCCCTTTTTTCTGCCTCTTAAAGGAATTCTGTCAAGGAATGCATTTTAAGAAGGATTTCCTTTCCAAAGTCACTATTGCTAAACCCATAGAGATAGAGAATTGGCCATGGGGGCAGGAAGATCTGGGTCCATGTCCTGCCTCTGACATAGACTGGCTGAGTGACCCTGGGCAAGTTACTTAACTTCTGAGTGCCCCTAGGCAACTGTCTAAGATGGTAAGTCACAAACAAGTTGCTAATATGAATTGGAGAGAGTTTCCACCCTAGGAACTTCCTAGAGATGGAATCACAGTTCTTGGAACTCAAAAATTAAAAAAAAAATTAAATTAAAAAATGCCAGGAGAAAACCAATTCAATCTCCATTTAAAAGAGAGTTGTGTGTTTACCCTACAGGCCTAGTTCAGGCAGTGAACCAAGAGGTGCCCTACTAAGAGTTACTTGTGCTACACTGTTATCTTTTTAAAACTTTATTTTAACCCCCTAAGAGGAGACAATTAATAAGAAGGAGAATGATGATAAACTCTGGAGAAATTAATTTTTGTTTATTGTTGTTTATAAAAGAAAAACTAATTAAAATGTGGTCTAAAAGATCTGAACTTTTCAAAATCTTCCTGGGTATAGGCAGGGGCAGCTAGGTGGCACAGTGGATAGAGCACTGGGCTTGGAATCAGGAAGACTCATACATGAGTTCAAATGTGGCCTCAAATGCTTACCAGTTGTGTGACTGTGGGCAAATCACTTAACCCTGTTTGTCTCAGTTTCCTCATCTGTAAAATGAGAAGGAAATAGCGAACTACTCTAGTATCTTTGCCAAGAAAACTCCAAAATGGGGTCATGAAGAGTCAGCTATAACTCAACAACAACAATATCATTATAGGAATCATGCAGAAAGAGATTTGTCACACAGAGACAGAAAATTTGGGATGGTTACTGGGTCCAGGAATACTTAGCAATAGATGGAATATCTCCTAAAACCATAAGGCCACCACTTTGGGTCATTCATGTAACACTTCTGGGAAATATATTGTAAAATGATTATCCCTTCCACCCCAACCTTCTTGATTTTTTCCTTTAAAAAACACGTACACACAGACAAATTCAAACCCAGTACAATGTATAAGTCCTGACTTTTCAATACATCAACTCTACTCCTTTTAAATCGCTTTCACCTTAAAATCTGAATGGGATCCTGTACCAATTTAATGCCTTCAAAGTATTCAGTGGAAACATTCCAAGAAGATTCTTTGATTTCTAGTCATGGAAATTCAAAACCTTGACCAAATCAAATCCATTTGACCTAACAACTGATTTAAAGCAACCTGAACAAGGGCATTGCTGTTTACTACAAACGAGCTATGGAAAGAAATGATTTCAAAGGATTTAGGGGACAGGTAGGAAGAAGGGAAGGAATGTGTGGAAACCAGGAAGGGAAGGACACACTTTGGATGAATGGCTTGTCTTAGTTTTAGCTGTCATCCTGTTCTTGGAATTCCTAGTTCCTACAGCCAAGGAGATCACTCATGGTAGTTATGGTTTCTCTGAAGTAGCAGTGTGATACAGGGACTCATTGACCTTCACATGATTATAGCCTGACCAGAAATCACAGATTTAGAGGTAGAAGGGACCTTAGAGGTCTTCCAGTACAATCCTATCATTTTACAGATGAAGGAACTTAAACCTCAGAGGTCAAACTGGTACTAAGAGTCAGAGCTAGGATTTAACTCCAGACTCCAAATCCAGTACAAGTTTCACTTCACCACCCTATATCAGCTACTGCTTCATTTCCTCTTGAAACAGGGAAAAGAGATCAGTTAGTTAGGCTTGGAGAAGATAGGCCCTTACATGGGACTTATTCCTAAGCACAAATGAGAAGACAATCTCCCCCCAGCTTGGCCAAGAAGTCCATCCATCTTGTGAGAGAAAAAAAAAAGTGGAGCATCTGAAGTGGGTGTGTGACTGCCAATATTTGTGAGGGAGCTCTGGGGTGAACATTACCTGTGCTCGATGTTCTCCCACTGCAAACTGGATGATGGCAATGCCTGGGGTAGGGCTGTCTTCAATCCTTTCTACGGTGCTAGAGTCTATTTTCAGGTCGTTGCTAATCTCAGCACTCTGGATGAAGTCTTCTGTTTTCAAGTCCTCGACCTTCTTCAGCTCTCCGTTGGCCAACTGGATGATTGACCCTTTCATGAAGTAAGGGGGCAGTGTTGGGGGAACGGCTGCAGAAGATGCAATGGACTGGACCACGGGGAGGTGGATCTGTGCCTGCACCATGGCTGGGTAGGCTGCCTGAGTGGCCAAGGACTCTGCGCTGAAATTCTCGCTCTTGGGAATGGTGGTAGTGACAAACGTATGAGGCACTGCTGCAAACTGGGGAGATGAAGTGACGATCGCAGGGGCTACCCCGGATGGCTCCATGTCGGTGCCGCCCACGGGGATGAGCAGAGGCTGGGTCCCAGGGATCACCAGATGCTGGGGCAGGTTGCCGGCGTAACTGATTGCTTGCTGTTGGCTGCTCAGGTAGCCAATGACGGGTGGCTGAGTCCCTGCATAGAAGGCTGGAAGTCCAACGGGGAGGGGGTCCGAAGCACTGTGGGTGGTCTGGATGACAGTATGTGGTGACAGAGTGGCCACGGCGGCCTTCACACCCTCAGGGCCCAGAGCCTGCTGTGGGGACAGAGCGTAAGAGCGGTGGCTGGGCTTCCCTAAGTGGAGGCTGCTCTTGTCGTTGAGGGTGGATGGGGAGGCTCTTGGTGTGTGACCTGCTGGACTTCCATATCTGTGGTGGGTGTGTTGCTGTTGGGTAGGACCATCACAGAGGCCCGCGTCCCCGATGAATCACGGGTGCTGTAGTCAGCAGGGCTTGAGTGGACCACAACGTGTCTGGTTTCATAGTGGTGAGAGGCCGTCTTCCCGCTTGCCTTCATGAGGCCCAGGTCTGCAGAGGAGGGAACACCGTATCTCCGGCTCTTCTCCATCTCACCATTCAGCATCTCCTTGGCCTGTATGGCCTGTTGTAGCCTGCTGCTCTCAGCCTTCTTGGTGGATTCCCGGGGAACAAAATGACCACCAGAGTCTGTGTATTGCACCACCACCTGGGAGGAAGGCCCCAGGGTAAGTGTGTGTGGGATCATCGTCTGATGGGGATGCAGGTGGACTGGGATGGCTGGAGGGGACATGGTTCGCCCAGCACTCTGGGGAGAGCTGGAGATATGGACATATTGGTTCTGCTGTGTGGGCGGTGGGGACCCTGCCGAGATAAGCCCCGGAGTCCTGATCAGATGCTGCTGCTGCTCAACCTTGTGCCCTGTCTGCTGGCTCAAGCCACCCACGTTGGCTAGCAGAGTGGAATAGGCCTCCAGGTGGGAGCGCTGTGATGGAGTGGTGGCCACAGCAGCGGAGGCCACTCCACTGGTGGCAGGATTGGCTGGAGGGGAGATCAGCTGGGAGGGGATGAAGCCAGCATAGGGCCCACTATACTGGGAGGACCCAATGAACTGGAAAGTGTGCGGCAAGTGTGTGTACTGCACGGGGGACACCGGGGTCCCTGACTGTGGGGGAGGGTACACCGCCGGAAGAGTGGTAGTGGCTGGAACAGACCTGGGGGCACTGGGTGGAGAATAATCCATCCCGGCGGACAGTGATTTGTGTAAACCTATTCCCTGCTGTAAACCAAGCTCTGCTGCCGAGGTCCCCCCAGGCCCAGGCCTCCCGCCCACGCTGCCTTGTCCACTCTGAGTGCTGGGGAGCCATGTGAAGCTCTCCGCCCTGTGGTTGTCGTTTGGCACGACCGCTGGCTTCTCCTCCGATGGCCGGCTAGTGGCAGGAATCTCACGTTTTTTGGGAGGCAAGCATTCATTGCTCCTTTCTTGGTTGGATTTCATTTTTCGCCGTCCCCCCTCCACTGTGACTGCTTCACTGTCTGGCTAGTTCTGGTTTCAGTCTGGTAAATGGAAAGTCGCATTTGATTTCGGAAGGGGATCCAGAGACTTCATGAGGAATCATCTCCCTATGAGCACAATCTTCCAACAGCTGCTCGGGATTCTGGAAAAAGAAAGGGGGCAGTGAGGCAGGGGGGAAGGAAGGGGGGAGAGGACATCACAATATCAGTCCTGGGGGTGGGGTGGGAAATCCCACACAAAATTCAGAAGAGCCCTCTGGTTATTAATAGGATTGCCAAGATTCTATTTATAGCCACAGTATAAGAGTAGAGACAACACTGGCCATGTCAGTTCATACATCGTGAAAATCATTAAGCAAATGAGAACTTTTACAAGCTATAATTTTGTTGTAGTTAAAACGACTTCTCTTTATAATTCTATTTCCCCATGCCTCTGCCTCTTCCCTAGTTATCATGGTCAGGAAACACTGCATTTCATATACTCTCACTTCAGCAGTATTAACCCCACCCTTTTCCCCTGCCCTGAATACACACCTTACCCTTTGCATACTCCTAAAATCCATGGGAAGGATGCTCTGAGTTCAAGACAACTATACGAGCTCCCAAAAGACCCATGTGCTGGAAACAAAACTCTTGAAACTGTCTCAAAGAGTTATTTCTACATTCTTATCATCTCCCCGGGTCCATGTTAAACATTCATTAGTTAGATTCCCCCAGCACGTACAAACACACACCTATACACTGCTCCCTGAAATTCAGCACAAGGAGACACATACAATTCTCATCCCTAAAATACTTTTTTCAGCCTAAGTAGTATTACTATTCATTACCAACGAGCAAAATGATTGCCACAAGCTGACCAGGGCTGATTTGATTTTATTTCTTTACATTCTTTTATTTCTTCATTTCTTTCTTTGGTGATTTTAAAGCTTTCTTGGGAGGGTTTGCTCCCTGGCTACTGCCTTTCCTTCCTTTCTCCCCCTTCTCCTCTACCTTAATATCTGTAAAAATGTCCACCCAGAATCAACTCAAGCGATGAAATCCAAAAGGAAGGAAATGGTCTTCAGATAAACTGTCCCTGCATGTTTAAAACTGTAAAGGCACCAGGACAGTAAACCCAGAGCTAGTTCTTTACTGGATCTTATTTCTGTTTCTTAGTAACCACTGAACCATGAGTCACCACAACTCGGCTCAGCTGTTTCGTGTGACAAACAGATTTCCACCTGGGCAAGGGCAGAACATTTAGCAAACCAATAAGAATGACTATAACAAGAAGCAGATTGAATTTAACTTCTACAGGAAACAAGGGCTCAACTTAGTAATCGGTGCTACAGGCCTGGAGAAGCAATAAGAACCGAAGCTTTGCAACTGAAAATGGCCTTAGCCAAAACTTGCTGTTGGCATCCATCATCCATGCTCTTTTTCACTTGGCTTAAAAACAACAACAGTTATTTCATCCTTAGGAGAGTCAAGGGAGAAGAAGCAAGTGGTCTTCAACACTCTTTCCTTCTCTGTAGTAGCAAATGATGTACTCTTGTGGCCCCACCCAGCTCTTCCCTTACACAGTACTATGTTCCCCTTCCCCACACATCCTCCCCTCCCAAATCTCACCTATAATTTTCTGTTGTTGGTTGTCAGTTTTTGTTTTTATTTTTGGCTAAGATTTAGCATTCCTTGTCCAAATTCTTTCTTTTAATTAATTTATTTTAGTTTTCAACATTCACTTCCATAAGCTTTTGAGTTTTACATTTTCTCCCCCTCCCTCCCCCTCGTGCAAATTCTTTCAAGGGCAGATTCAGCTAAATAATTATTTGTTAAACCCTTGCTATGCCCAAGGTATTGTGCTAAGGACTGTGAATATAAAGACAAAAAACCAAAAGTTTCTGTTCTACTTAATATAAGAGGCAAAATTGCACAATTTGACTTCGGAAGTCTCTCCCTCCCCTACTTCCTTACTCATTTTCATGATCGATGCTAGAGGTGACATCTCACACTAAAGGACTTTTAATCAATACGAGCACTGCTTGAAAGGCAGAGAGGTACTTTATAGAGCAGATATTTATGGAAATTGAGGATGACGTGGAAGATCTAAGATAAGAGAGTGTATTTTAATTTGCTCCTGAAACTGAATTTTGGCAACTGCTGCCATTATAAGGTGTGTGGATAAGTAGCTTTCTCAACACTGTCCTATATAATGCCTAGGACATGATTACCTCCAAATAACTGTTAATTTTTGATAATTCTGCAGAATTTTAAACACTAACATTGAAATTAAATCTATCAGCATGCACTTATTAAATCTAAATTATATATTTAACTTTAAATAACCCAAGAGCCACTACTCTTTGTTTTGTACTGTGATGGCTTTGTCTTTAAATCTACTAAAGGAAATATATATATATATATATATATATATATATATATATACATATATATATATATATATATTATATATATATATATATATATATATGTGTGTGTGTGTGTGTGTGTGTGTGTGTGTGTGTGTGTGTGTGTGTGTGTGTGTATGCTCTGTTTCTTCCCTGCCTCCAACTCCTCCTCATCCCCTGTCCCATCCTATCCCACCTCAAGTTCACAAGCCATACCAACTAACTAAAAGTACTCATTAAAAAGATTGTCCTCAAATTAAATGTTCCATGCTCCCCCTGCTGGTTAGACAGCAATACTGACCTAGTAAAGGCTGATAAGATTTTAGTTCAATTCCATACACATTTATTAAATGCCTACTATGTGTGAGGCTCTGTGCTAGGTAGTGGGATACAAATATAAAACTGAAATAGCCTCCATCCTCAAGAAGTGTATGTTTTATTGGACAGATATAAGATTTAGACACATAAATATAGGAGGAGGGTCCAAGCACTGACACACTGGGGAAAGAAGAAAAGGCTTTGCATATGGGAGATGGCTCCAGCTAAGGAAGCCTTGAACTAAGTTAGAGATTCCAAGAGGTGGAGGAGAGGTGGGAGGGCATTCCAGGCACAGGTGACAGCTGATGCAAAGGCATGGAGGAGAAACTGTCACGCTCAGGGAGCAGTAAACAGGCCAGCCTGGCTGGAATGTAGAATTCACAAAAAGGAATAATGTTAAATAAGTCTGGAAAGGTTAGGATCAGACTGTGGATGGTTTTATAAGCCAAGACGAGGGGTCTGCATGTTATCCTACTGACAATCAGTAGCAACTGAAGCTTTTGGAGCTGGAGAGCAACAAGGTCAGACTTTTGTCTGGGAGGTGTATCAGTTTATGAAGAGAACGAAATGAGGGTAGTCAATTAAAAGGCTCTTTTTAATAGCCCAAGTCAGAGATGATGAGGGCTCAAACTAAGGTAGTGTTCATGTAAACAGACAGAAGGTGATGCATACAAGGTAAGTTGTGGAGGTAAAACTGACAAGTGAAAAGACTTGCTAACTATTTGGACATATACTTGATAAGTAAGCCATCTGTATTTTCAATGAATTCATTGTTAAAATATGTTGAACAATCATAGGATAATAAGTCTAGAGCTGGAAAGGACCTCAAAGGTCATTTAATCCACTCCTATAATTTTACAGATCAGGAAACCAAAGCCCAGAGAGATTAAATAAGTTCCTCAAGATTACACAGGTGGTGGGTGCAGCTAGGTGGTGCAGTGGATAAAGCACTGGCCCTGGATTCAGGAGGACTTGAGTTCAAATCCAACCTCAGACACATAACACTTAATAGCTGCGTGACCCTGGGCAAGTCACTTAACCCCATTGCCTAGCCCCCCCCCAAAAAAAAAAGATTACACAGGTGGTTAAGGCAGAATATTAAGTCACCACCTGTCTGTACTATGGACAATTCTCTGAGACTTTAAGTTGGAGAGAAGGTGCCAAGCTACAGAGGCAGCAGGAGTTTCCTAAACCAGAGAATTCTCTATATCAATGAAATCACAGCTCCTATACCTACCCCTTTAAAAAGTATACATCAGGGGCAGCTAGGAGGTGCAGTGGATAGAGCACTGGCCCTGAAGTCAGGAGGGCCTGAGTTCATATCTGGCCTCAGACCAAACACTTGACACTTATTAGCTGTGTGACCCTGTGCAAGTCACTTAACCCCAATTGCCCTCCAAAAAAGAGTGTTTAAAAAAAAGTATATATTAAATTTAGTAAAAATAGTAATAGAAATGTTCTATTGGCTTTTACATCCCTTTTTTTATCTCTTTTAATCCTTTTTATATTTTTCAAAGTATTCTTAACGTTGTTATTCAGTGGCAGCACTGTGTAGTAGCTAGAGAGCTGGTCTCAAAGACTGGAAGAATGAATTTCAAGTCTTATCTGATGGATACTGGCTGTGTGTGCCCCTGAATAAGTTACCTAACCTTTCAGTGCCCTAGGCAGAGAAGGTGCCAACCTGTATTGGGTAGAGGGAATTTCCAAACCAGTGAACTTATAGGTCCAATCCTTTTACCTAAGAAGATTTTTCTATAAATATTTTAAAAATCAACCAAAAATAATATTATCAATTTAATTCCTAGCTCAATGTAGCTATTTGTCTACTGTAAGAAACTTAAGAACAGAAGGTTTTTTCCAACTTAGGAACCCTAACTGAGTTCACTTTTCCATTTTTTTTAAAGCATTGCCAAGACTCTTGCTGTGGTTCTATTTTTTTTTTTTGCTTTTCATATGTTTGTATTTCCATTTCTTTCACATCCCTAGATACATTTAATAGCTACTAAATATTAATCAGTGACCACTGTTGTTATATTACTGTTATTGATGGTAATTCAGTTATAAAGCATTTTAAGGTTTACAAGGTACTTTCCTCATACTAACAGCATGAGGTAGACATCACAAGCATTACTATCTCCACCGTAAAGAGGAAAGTTTGAGTGACCTGTTCAAGATCACAAAGATGAGAGCCAGGAGATAAACTCAAGTCCTCCCATGTTTACATGCATGGGGTAGTACGCTTTGGAGCAGGCACCTGGGGCTGTGGGCATGCAAGTCTGTGCCTTCGAGGAGATGACACAGGGGATGTTCAGGACAGCAGCTGGGCTCTGATATCCCTAGAAGCCAGCACACATGGAACGTCTCTGCAGTGTCTGGGTAGCCAGTGTCCCCTGGCGGCCTGCCCATTCTAGAATTCCTGGAAAGGCTCAAGGCGG